AGTCGTATCTATACTTTTGAGTGATAATCTATATAGTATATATTAACAATAGATTTCGTGTATGGGATCAAAATATTTTTCAAATTTTTATAAATTTTTTCATCAGAATATCTTATCGCCTCATGCAGATATTTTAATTTGAATTTAAGTTTTTAAATATTTATTTACTGGTAAATATCATACATATTTATGTGTCGGTACAAAATTTGCATGCATAAAAATGTATTGGTTTACATTTTAAAAGCTGCTCACGTGTTATTTTTTGGAATAAAATCAAAAAACTTGTAACAAAATTAATTGTATATAATTAAGAATTCTTTGCAAAAAAATACAATAAATTCAAATAGGTCCAATTATTTCATTGCATATCCAACAAGTTAAATATTCTGTGTATGCAAGTTTTGTGCCTTTGGCATTTTAACCTCATCCTAATTTGGTATATTGATTAAGCATTGGTTACCGTTAACTTCAAGTGCAATATTGTGACATGGGTTTTATATTATGATTTATTATCAATTCTTCTACACGTCACACAATCCAGAAAGACCAGAGCTTCGCATTTCATAACTCATTTAGGTCTCTGCACGTGTCAACAAACCAAGCGTGACAGCGAAAGCATCTGATGGCATCCACCTTCAGCTAACCACACAACACACTGATCCCCCACACAAACACACACTGGCTTCGAGGAGAGCTTTCAAACCGACAGTTACAAACAAACAAAGGCGCTTCAAGTCCTAGCTTTTCGGGCCTGGCAATCAATCCAAATGATATACACATTCCAGTCTCCGGCTCAGTTCTGGACTGGCCTGGGCCTATGTTTGCTTAGCTGCCAGGCCAGACAGTTGCCCAAGATTTGATGTATTTGACATATAGACTGCACATCAGTCCTTTGCCGCTATGCCTCGTTTTTTATATGAGGCCAAAGCGCTTGTGGCCTAGCACAATATGTCTTAGTCGGCCGCAGGCTACGTGCTGCGCGAACGGAATGTGACTGCGTGTTTAACTGGCATATGGCTTCCCAGTGGATTAGCTATTGATATTTGATTGGGCTGCTGGGCAAAGGCAAATTATGCGAATGTCATGTTGTGCGCTGAAATCTAAATTATGACGGAAAATATTGAAAATTGTATGTACTTAAAATAGGTATGTATGCCGCCCACTTCCAATCTCTGTTTACAAAAATATATTAAAAATGCATTAAATTGTTTTAAAAATATTAATACTGACAATCTGACATTTACTTAATTTAATTAAATGCTGCACACTGTCGCATTTGTGACCATTTTTGGTAACTGGCAAATTGACACGAATTGGACATCAGGCTCGCATCTAATTAAAATAATGAGATTCTTGGTGTCGCTTTTGACGGAAGTATTTGGGGGGCGTGGAAAAGATTTAGCGGAAAGCTAGCTGAACACGCTACTTGGCACTGTCCTGCCGGAAGACAAGAAATGCGTAACAAAAGGCGCATAAAATAGCAAAATTTACAGCCAGAAAGAGTTCTCTTAATGTGCCATGTCGGCCGCTGCGCACGCCGCCAACCAGGACGACACCAGACACCGAGTCCGTCGACACCGAGTCCAGGACTATGTCCAATTTGATGTCTATTTTGGACGGCTTACGACTGGCGACCAGCGGCTTTTGGCCCCATTTCAAGAGTTTACTTATTGCGGCTTTTAAGAGCTTCCGTTTCGTCACGCATAACGCTTTCCAATGACATGAACATCAAAATCATCAACATTCCTTGAGCAACGACACGATCCGTTACGGGCACGTCTCGGCCCGTGTACGACGCCAGGCATAGCCAGGATACGGTCAGAATGTGTCTGCATCTATTAAGTGACAGCCTCTTAAATGGCCACCAGATATAACTACAAAGTTGAGCATGTGTGTGTTGTGTGACTAAACAGTACGGTCTGTTGGGCCAATGATTAAGGTATTTCATGGGCTGTGTTTGGTCATGTTGGTACATCCTTTGAATGATGCCGACCCAACTAGTTGTGTTCGCGACGTGCCACACTTGGTTACAAGCCTCTGTAGGGGACTAACATGGCGTATGCATATCTTTTATGAGCTTGTTCTTATAACAATTGACATCAGCGTCCACCGTCAAGCGGCGAGCCAACATTTAATTTGACGCCAAGTACAACGACGAGTGACTAAAATCATATTGACTGCAGTCAGTCAGACAGGCGAGACGAATGAAGCACGGAAAAATAAATAAACCGTTTGTGTAATTATCCGAATAGGCACAGCGCGCTGCGCCTAATTGATTGTTTTATTATTGATTGAGTGTCTTTTTGTTTTATTTCATTTTTGTTTTTTATTTATCTATTTACACAACTCAAATCGCCACAATCTGAGCACAGAGTCCAAGCCACGTGTAAATCACAGTTGTAATAATATTAGTAAAACGCCAGAAACAACACCAACAACAACTTGGCAGCTGGGCTTAAACGCACGCAAATATTATGGTAAATAAATTGTACTGTAAACATCATCAACACGTTCAATAAGTTGGTAACTTAATTACCAGTGCAAACAATAATATGCAAATACAATGAGAGCATAATACCAGCACCCCAAAGCATACCCAAACACCTAGGTGATGAGCTCAGCATTTAAATCAATGAGTAGCATCTGGCAATCAAAGTCAATGGCAACTGCTTTAATATGTTCTGGGCTAGGATATAAGCCGAGTCAGCTTGTGATTCATTTGGCATGAGTCTATAAACTGCTTTTAGGCAGGGCACAAAATACAGAAAATATCATTCCCATTGGTGCAGCATAAATTCAGACATTGAAAACTATTTCCGTTGCAACGGAGGAACATTAAACGTGTGCTAAAAAGGGCCGTAAATGAAAATTACCTATATTTAGCTTAGCTCTGAAAGCTCACGAAATTATGGTTATATGCAGCCACAAGTTCGTAATCCATATTTAATTTAGAATTGAAATTTATCCTAATATCCTAATAATATAATTTCATGCACACAATTACTCACACTCATATAAGTATCAACTCAGCTCAAGTGCATCGAAATTATTTCGATATTGGCTGATTTGAGGTGTCTCAACTGACGCTTCACTCCCCCTTCCGACAATTAGTCAGTAATTTCACGCCTGACCTAATAAAGCACAAAAACAAGTATTTGGATAAAAATCTAAGGTTACTTTGGAAGTATGACTTTTAAATACTCTAAGTTAAAAGATTTATGTAAGAAATAATCAATTCATTGAATTTATATAAAAACTTAAACTAAACTATATACACGATAAAACTGATGACGAAAAGTATAGCAAGATAAAAACCAAGCCAAACATATATAGCCACTGATGCATACATAGTTCGTCAAATGAACATAAGTTTAAACTCGTAGAACATCGCGTATTCGGCTGCTGACATTGGATTTTTCAAATATGGCTAGGAAGGAACAGTACTTGGAATCCGCTTACTCATTCATATATTATATTTTGACTCTCTTATGCCAGTTGCTGCTTTGTGGTGCTGGCGAATTAAGTGAGAATATTGAAAGTTGGAGCAAAATGCTTCCACAATTTATTGACAGTCAGGCTGTTGACGGCAGACAGAAAATTTTGACATACGATTTCAATTTTTCATGCATTTCGATTTCGCACTGACAAGCTGTAATGCGATTTATATTTGGGATAAAACAGATGCGCTGGCAAATGCAATATGCCAGTCAGATTGCTGGCAAAGCGGGTTAAACGCAAGCTACTTTAAATATTTAACTAAAACTATAATCATGAGATAGGTCAAGCGGAAAAGCAGCATACTTTGACCGCAACACAGATAATCTAAAAGCCTTAATTCATAAATTAAGTATCTCAAAGATACCTTGAATAGATTTCATTCTGCAAAGTGAAAGTAAAACTATTAATTTGTGAATCGTAAAATTATGTTCAAAATAACCAAATGTGCAGAATATACTATATACAATAATTTTGCCCCGCCGCTGCCTACAAATCGAACGATGAATATCTAAGAATTGGGCAATAATTTATGAAGCTGGCATTGGAGTTGAATATTGTCAAAGCAGTAGGCGGCAAGCTTACAGTTTCGAGCATACAATTAATTGATTAATTAACACTGCATATGATAAATGTTGCACAAGCAGCTGTCCATATTGATGGCTAACTATTTACACAGCAACTAGAATACGTACCTAAGCATTATAATAGCCTATATACATCGGTCTGTAACCGCAGAAGCAGCCACGTGTGACTTTCTTTAGGAAGGGGCGAGCATGAAACTGCCAAGTAATGTAATTATTGCAGAACTATTTATCATGTTTGGTGTCGGGTAGCTGGCACTTAAGCGCTTCGCATCGCCTAAGGCCTGTCAAATGTGGCGTATGCTCAATACCAAAACCGACCCTCACGCTCGAATATATCGTAGGTATTTATGTGCTTTTGTTGTATATTAAACACGGTTATGGCTGCCAGGAAACTATGCGAGAGGTTAACTAATTAGCATGTCAAAGCCATCCATTTTGCAGCTGCCCAGTTATCCGTAGAGCAATCATACAAACCCCCTTGTCATGCCAACCCTTCTTCAGCTCAACCCTCGGGCTGGTACCGACTTGAATAGCCAAAGGCGTAAATCCCATTTAATTATGCTTTTACTTTCATAAGCTTTGCACATACTATAAAATAACCGAGCTCATTTACAAGCACATCACTCGAAGCCAAAGGAATCTCGCTCGTAGCTATTTGAATTTGCTTTTCAGTGGCTTAGGGCAAAAAACCAATTTGCTGTCAATGTCATTAAAGGACCTAAGAAATTGGTGGTCGTTAAACAAAATAATCGGACCCAAAGCTAAATTTAAAATTACTTTAATTAAATTACTTAGTTGAGCGACAGGATTAGCAACACATGTCCTCCATGTGAATCTCACAGGAGCTAACCGCAAACTGTCTAAGAATGTAGAGATTTAAAAGTAAAGTTTTGAGATCTGGTTCCATATTATGCAATGTTATTTTGTATATGTAATGTATTATTTTTCATATTACCAAAAGAAAAGCATATTATCCTTTATTATAAGTACGCCTAGTTGTCTATTTACGCCCGTACACGTGGCTCTTGTGCTTATATATACCAACCTTACCCAGCTTTCGAATGCACCGATTTTTGATTCCCAGAACCTCATAGGGGCGACACGCACGACCGCTCCTGAGCAGCCTTCCTGGCAAGTAAATATATTTGTGACGTGTCTTGTGGCCCACAGGATTATCGGTCTTTATGCCCTGGACCGTATTACTGTTCGGTTTGCCTATGGGAGCAGCCCGAAAATTATTTGTTTCTTCACTGTTTTCAACTAGCGCAGGTAGGTAGCCGGCAGCTGCGTATACCCTTTCTCCATGAAGATGGCTGGGCAGAACAGGTACTCGCTCGTCGTTGCCGAGCAAGTGCTTCCTTTCTGGCGTGCAACCAATGGGCGTCTGTACTTGACCATCGGGGCACTCAATGCTGCGGGCCAGTCCAGCCTTATCCTTGGCCTCGTCCAGATTCTCATCAGCCCAGGCTCGCTGGAGTATCTGGTGCATATATAATTCACGATTGACGCAACCTTTATTGGCGGTCAGCACCTCGGTCGGTTTGCACTTCTTCGTATTCTTGTCCTTGGTTTCCGATAGCCTTTGTTTCTGTGGGTATTTTTCATCACCCGCTGGCTTCGACTTATCCGGATGCTTATCATTCCTTGGTTGAACTGACTTATCCGGTTGCTTGTTGTTCCTTGGTTGTACCTGTTGTACTGGCTTAACCGGTTGCTTCTCTATCTCTGGATTTAACGGTTGTACTGACTGATCCAGTTGTTTCTTTATCGTTGGTTGTACCGGTTGTACTTGCTTAGCCGGTTGATTCTCAGCTTGTTGTTTTTGTTGATCCGGCGCCTTCTCCGTCACCTGCTTCTCCGGTTGTATTGGTGGTTTGGGCTCCGTATCTGCCCTTGATTGCACCGCATTTGTTAGCGGTGTCGGCTGAGTTATTTGCCCAGCTGGATCTTTCACGGTCGAATCGACCGTTAGCCCAGTTTTGCTTACCAAAAGCAAAAGCACAACATAGTACATGCAATGATATAGCTCCATTTAGCTACTGTTACGTTAAATTATTGGCTATAACTGTTCTGGTCTTGGGCAGATCTCTATCATGTAGGGGCACAACTGGGCGTTACGAATCGTTTACGTTTGGGCGTGCAATCTCAATGCAAAAATAATTAAGCTTTCCATTAAATGTCATTGGAGACGCTGCTCCAAGGCGAATCAATTTCGTTCTTATTTGGCTTCCAACGACTTATTTACCATGCAGCGCGTCTGCCATAGTTAGTTGTTATTGTTGTTATTGCCGCTTCGCTTTGCAATCTCAATTTCCCCCACAATAAAATTAATGTTTTACGTAGCCAATTCCGAATCGTTTATTTCACATAAAAATGCGATAAATAAGCGACGCATCCTGTGCGATGACGTCGAGAAAGAAGAAGCCCAAAGGCGGCAGGATAAGTCCCTTAGCTGCTGCTGCTGCTTTTGCTGTTGATATTGCTGTTGTAGTTGTTGTTGGCTTGTGCACCTACAGCTTTGAGTGTTTATAGCACAAACGATGCGGAGGATGTGCTGCGAGGCGTACGCGCCGGCTTTAAGCGCAAAGGAGAGCTGGAGCAACTATGGGTTCAGAGTTTAAAAACAAAGTGCACAGTCCGAAAACAACAATGAATAAGATAAATAGGGTGGCAAAGGTTGGCAAAGTGAGAATGAGAGAGAGAGAGAGAGACAGAGAGAGAGAGAGAGATAGAGAGAGAGAGAAAGAGAGTCGAGGAAGAGCAGTGAGATCCATTGAAAGCAAAGACAAAAGCTTCCCTCGTTGCAGCACCATCACGCTGCTTGTGTCGTCTGGGCTTACCCACCACAATCACAGCAACTGCAAAAACAGAAATGCTAACAAGGATGTCGTCCACGTGGACCGCTGAACTTCTTACGTGACTGTTGTTAAAAATTTCATGTTAATGGCCACACGAAGCTTTGCTCCTAACCCTTTGCTATCGGCTCGCGCACATGTGTGCCGCTTTCCGCCCATCTGTTTGTCTGCATGTGCATGTGTGGGTGTGTGTGTAAAGAGGTCATTGTGCTGCCATATTTCGGTAGCACCTTTATGCTAGGTGGCTTTTTTCCTTTTGCTGTCCTTTGCAAATTAAATTTCGACTTGTGCACACGGTCCAAGCGCGAAAGCCAAACTCAGCCATAGGACAGAGGAAATGATTTTAATTGGGGATATCTTTTGAAACACTTGCCCATATTTATGGACTCCTTGATAAAGCAGTAAGAGGAGCAGCAGCAGCTGCTACAAAAGGGTGCACAATTAAAGGCGGAACTTCCTTAGAAAATAAAATCAAAATAACAAAGCGAACACGGCAAAAAGATAGCGCTGAGAGTTCCACTGAGATAACGAAAAATTAAAATGGACCCAGTACTGAGCGATTCAAGGACATAATGCGCTTTACTTTCTGCACTTCAGCTTGGCACTTGCTTCACTGCTGTCACTGTCACCTAGCTACCAAGCCCACAAAGGTGACTAGCTAGTCGGGCATTGTTCCTGCGGCCTTTGCAAGACTTTAGCTTTGGCTTTGGCTTTGCTTATTTTTGCGCATTGTTTGTGCTAGTGGTTTCTCTTTTGTTTTTTGTTTTTTTTATTCCCTGTTCCCATTGAAAGTGGGTAAGATGGGTATTATGGTTTTCGGTAAATGCATGTAACATGCCGAGCGACTCATCTTCAACCCCATATATATTGTTATTCAGTGTCAATAGATGCGGCGATTTTGCCACCTTCGTCTGTCTGTGTCTTCGTTGGTTCGTACGTCAGTAGGAATACATCGACCTTATAATGATTGAAAGAGCTACAGGTGTATATATAGAAATAGTTTTAATAATGCTTGTGATGTCAAATTGACGCCATAGGCAGGGTATCTCCTAGTGAGGCATTTCCGACTCGAGAACTCTTAGTTGTTTTATTTTGTATTTTTGTATCACTTTGAGTATTTGCTGTTTGTCCTGGTCCAATGGCTAGTTTGTTTGCTTGTCAGCGGCCCGGGCCTTTGCGAGGGTAATCAGATGAAAGCTTTAGTGTCAATTGGGCCAAGCTACTTAATTGCGAGAAGAGAAGCTTTGCAGTTGCTGCATTTATTTTCATCAGATTGAATAAGGCATAGTTACTGCAATGGGACAACATGAAACTCATAGAGAACACTTTGAAATTCATTTGCAAGGAGTCAAGTGGAAACACGTTATGTGTGTTTGCTTGCTCAAAAGTCATGTACGGGCAAGTTATTTGGCTCAAACAACCAATATAACAAACAACTAACACAAGCTGCACACTCGCACACATGCAAAAACAACAACAGCAAGGCAACAGTGTTGGCAATTGTTTTTGCAATGCCCACATCCAGAGCTGCATAAATGTTCATGAGAGCTCATGAAATATTAAATGTTTATGAATTTCAAATGTTTCTAACTTCATTTGCATAATCCTTGTGTTTGTCAAAACAACTAGAAAGTGTCACATATCATTTACATGCCGTCTGACGAATAGAAAATGCGACACGCAGCACTCGACACCAGGCAGACGACACACAAAAGACAACATTTAACATTCAAAGGCAACACGAAATGTATCGCAAAACGAGCAATGCTCCGATGAACCGTGAACCCCAGACCCAATATGAGACCCCACAGTAGTGAGCAGAAGTCAACGTTTGTATATCAAGCAATGGAATGCTGCATAATTTATGCAACACGCTTAACAGCTGCAAAAACACATGACTATTTCATACCATTTTTCTAGATAAAATTGGTATGCTTTGCTTGCATCGTAAGTATCGGATTCGAAGTTTCGGTATCTATTACTTATAACTTTATTAATTTTAATTGAAATGAATTTTAACAAACTAATCAATTTTATTTCTCTTTTTATCTTATACACTAAGCTCATACAATCCCTTACTACCTTGAAGAAATAGTAGTCAAGCCTTTCAAGAATTTTTAAGCAGCATTGAATAATCCTTCAGTGGCGTTCCTAAGCTGCTAATGCCCTCGCACGCAGTGCATTCGAGGAAGCTCTAGAGCTTTTCTCCAACGCACGTACATACCCAGAAACCAGTTTATTGTTATCGTTATCGTCTTGCCCCGACACTCTGCACGTCGCTGCCAACTGGCAGTTTGTGCATATTTTATTGCGTCCGTTTCCTGTTGCATTTTTGTTGCATACTTTCAGGCTAATTCGTGCTTCATATTTTTTGTCCATTGTTATTGCTGTAGCCTTTGCAGTTGGCGTGAATTTTTATTGTAAATTGCTTATGGGAGAGAGTAGCAGCTGCGGGAGCAGCGCCAGCAGCAATATAAAAACGTCAACTGATGGCCTTCTTATCGAGCGGCAACTGTTTCCTTGGCTATTTTGCATTAATTGCCACTCTACGCAGGCTTTGGGTGATTTATGAGCGCAGCTTAGCAGTGGCCACTTTCGCAAATATAAATACCAATAAAATAGCCACACACACACACACACACACACACACGCACGCACACACATACATTCCCTCGCACACAGCCAAGCCGTATGCTCATTCAAGTGTTCGAAATTTATAACACGAATCCGCTTGCCAAACAAGAAATTAAAAGTTTCTGACCCGCACACACAAACTTTTTGCACACGCATGTGGCGCATTGTAAAATTTATTAAACTAACTGCAAATTAGTGCAGAATTACATACACACACAGACACAGTTGACAACACATGTGTGTGCCAAATTTCGGGCGATGAAAAAAGAAACTGCTGCATAAATCAAGGCGCCTGCAGCAGGGCAATTGTTAAATAATGTTGCCAATTGGCTAAATACTTTCGTCAGCCCGCGCCGCTGCGCATCGCTCTGCGTTTCAGCTTCCACAATATTAAAGAAAAAGCGGCACCGCGTTTGAAAAGAAAAGTAATGCAGTGAGCATTCCCATAGATAGATGTTTTTCTGTAGCGGGGGGAGCACTTTCTTTTGGTGTTTTTCATGTATTTTTCCTTTATTTTTTTCTTGCGAAAATTGTAAAACAATTGTTATAAATTTAATGCGCCTTTTTTGGTGGCATGTTCTGGGCTTGATAAATGCAGACAATTAGCTAAATGCTTCACTGGCGCCAACAGCCGCCAACAGCTAGACAAGAGGACAGCTCTCGTTCCCGAGCTCCGTCAGTCCCGCGCTCCTCCAAAATGACTTAGTCATTGCGCAGTTTTTGACACGCGTCCAAATTAGTCGCTACTGCAGTGCAGACAAGGAAAACCAACAGATGAGTGAGACAGCGGGCTAAAGCAGCAGCATAAGGGCGTGGCCAGTACACCCAGTTGGAGGTCTCTTATTAATTGCGGCGGGCTGTACTGCAGGCGATAATAAAAGTTTCAAGGTGCTGGTCAGCAAATATTATTAATGCATTTTGTTTGGCCAGCGACTTTTGCGAACGCTCATTGCCATGGAAGTAGCTGCCGAGAAGTAAAAGTACAATTTACAACAAGACAGCCTTTTTCAGCATATTCAAGGCAAGATATCGCAAATATCATGATTCGCAATGCTTTGCTTTTCACAAATATTTTGGCAAAGCCACATTCCTATAAACATGTTTTGAATTTGGTATGCGCGCGCGCGTATGTGTATCTGTGTGTGTGTGTGTGTGTGTGTGTGTGTGTGTGTGTGTGGGTGTGTGTGTTGCACTTGTAAATCCCCTTGGCGCATTGTTATTTCCGCATTATAGAAAAGAGGGCATTGAGCAACAAGCGGAAATGGCTTAAAGGATATTGCAATTTTATTTTGGGAAAAAAAGCCAAATCAACCAACCAGAGGAACTGAAAATATGCAAAAGTGAACAGCACTCGAGGAAGAAGAATGCAAAAGAAATTGTACAAATATTACCTATGGTATACATATATGTACTAACAACTAGCATATTTCCCAATCGGCATTTTAATGGCTAGTTTTATAGCTACAGTTTCTGTTCAAGATTTAGCGCCGGTTATTGTTAAGTCACATGAACCTAATCCCGTCCAATAACTTACAAAACTCTCATTAATAAGTTACTTAGCAAATTAGCAAT